ACCATGAGCAAGCATTTCATACCTTATTGCCACCTTTCAAATACATAGCAATCATCAATCAGATATCAACTTTAAGTTCTATCATCCAAAAACATTACATCATTACAGGTCTGCAGCTTTTCCAAGTAACCACTATGGCTCTCTTGAGTTTTTTGAGGATGCATGTGTCTGAATTCCATCTGTTTACTCCAAAATTCACTGGCACAAAAAGTAGCAGTTTAATGCATCTAATTCATTGCTATGGATGCCCTATTCTTGATGAATGGGCCTTCCTTTATGTATTTCTAAGAAAAGACAAATAGTAGGAATGTATGTCTAATCTCTGTTTAAAATTTTTATGTATTTAAAAATATTCTCATTAAATTTTGGCTAAACCTCCTATTCATCCCTCTTTGTTCTCTTTCATATAGATGACCTCTTTTGCATTGATGTTACTTCAATATATGTGTATGGGCATACACACACACACACACACACACACACACACACACACACACACACACACACCAACAAACTCACATACCCCTCTACACATCATTTAGTAAGTCTGTATAATTTTCTTAAGTTTTATTTTTTCAGTTTCGACAATCTAGTATTGAGTTTGGTGTTTGTGCTTCCCTTGTTAGATAAAATTCCTCCTTTTCTTAAACATTTTAGATGAGTTTTATTGTCTTCAACATTTGTTTCTCGACATCAAATTAATGAATTATATCAGCGTTTTGAGCATAGCTATAGAAACTTTCTTGTCAAAAGTTACCATCAAAAGTCAATCTCACATCCAAATACTCTTCTTAATTTTCAAGTATATTTTTCAGGTAATTATTTGATATCATGTCCTCTCTTATTCTTCCTTTTATGTCTGGATCCTCACGAAAATTATATTTCTTCAACATCATGTAATAGCAGAAGAGGGACTGTAGAAACACACCATGGTAGACACATCCACCAAAGAAAACCTAGAAGACATTCATCTATTATATTCTGTGACTGTTGTGGCTGCAGAACTTAGAAGCAATTGTATTTAATAGTGCCTCAGAGACTAATTTGTAATGTATATGATCGTTCATTGTTATTTAATATATAACTGCTGTTTGCTTTTGATCTGAGTTTTCCATACTTGCATATTTTGTTATATTTTTGAAGTTACAACATGATTTCATCTTTTCCCCTTTTCATTTCTTCTCTCCTAATACTACCATATAATCTTCCTTATTCAGTTTGAAATCCATGGCTACTTTTTCATTATTCTTACACACACACACACACACACACACACACACACACACACACGTATATATATATATATATAATCCAAAATATATAAATACCTGTGACATTTTCTTTAATTTTACAAGTATAATCATCATTGGCCACCACTAGGGAATATACCAGATTTGTTTATATTGAACAAAGACAATCATCTCACTGTATTTCTTATTACTTCTTATAAACTGCTTGGTAGATTTGCATCTTATCCGCGTGAGTATATATGTATGTCTGTGTGCATTCTTACATATATTTGTTCATTCTGTGCTTTATAGTTAGTGAAAGCCATGATCCATGTCTGAAGATCATAAGACAAACTCACTTCTCTATCCTTGAACTTTACCTCATGTGATACAGGAAAACTTGTCAAAAATGTTGTTTTCCACTATGTATAACAGCCTAACATCCCCACATCCATACAGAAATTGCACACACATGCATTAATAAAATTTTAAATATTATCATTAGTAAATAATTGGAGGCATACACAGATGTAAGAACAAGAGTTTTCAAAGAAATAATTACAAGAAAAAATGGTGAATTCTCCTTTGAAGAAAAATAAGGATTTTATTCAAAACAAGATCTGTGTGTGGAATAAGAATGTTTAATGAAAGGAGTGATAATGTGTTGTGTTCCATGGGCTCACTAGCCAAAATATCTTTGCTGTTTTGCATTGCCAGGAATGACTTTCCTTTGTTAGGCAAGCCTTTTATAGCATTATGTAACTCCTATTTACTGACAAGGTATAAGAGCAATAGTTTGTCTTTAATGATATCTTGCCATGCTTGCCATTCAAACGCATAGTAACTGGGATGGACACATACATCATCAATTCCCTTCCCCCTTACCTGTTTTCCTAACACCTTACTGGTCTCAGAAAATTAGTTCTCTTACATCTGTCTTTGATTTAGTTCAAGTTCAAATTCTCATTGATTCTGTTCCAAAATGCAGGGATCTCAGCAGTAGGGAATTAAGTAACACTTCTCAGAACCAACCAAATACAGTAGTGTTATTCTATTCTCTTATGGTGCTTTCTGGGATTACCTTTACCAATAACTCTAAATGAGTTTTCTCCATCCTTTCTCTAGATGTATTTTACAATATATATATACATATTCATTCCCCTGGTGAGTGTGTTATATCACCAAGTGTTTCATTTTAGTTAAATTTATTAACATGTATTAATACATCATAACTAATTTGTGGGTAAATATAAAATTATGATTCCCTTGTCATTTAAAAAATCCTTAGTGTTTTTGTTTCTCTTCAGATTACCCTTTGATTCCTCACAGATCTGCTTTGTAAAAATATCCAATCAGTTATTACTAGTGTCATTCTGATTGTCCTCTTTAAATTTACAATATTAAGATATTTTATAAATTTTGGTCCCTGGAATAATGCACTGTTCTATAAAATCTCTTGATTCTATTAATTAAGTTGCAGAGCAGCCTGCCAGTGAAGGTAACAATGGCCGATAATTCTATTTTTCTCCAGGATTTCTCCAAATATTTATGTTTCCCAGAAACAATATTTGGTGCACTTAACTAATTTTCCATGAATTGTTTATGTAGTCTGTGAAAAGTGAAAATGGCTTTCCACACAGACAAGAGTATATAGGCCACACATTATGAAGGTATTGGACTCTATTTATGTATGTAGATAAATAAATACATTGTCACTTGTTTGCAAAGGGAATCTGCTTAAATTCTTGAGTGGGAGTTCAAGAAATCTGTAGATGGATATAAGAAAACTGTAGTTTTCTTGAGAAGAACAATGATTCTAAGTTCTTTATTTTGGAAGAGAGCCAAATAAATGAAATACATTTTTACAAATATTAGAGATTACAACAAAAATGTTTACCTGTTTGTTTGTTGTTATAATAGATTTGGGGTCATGATATGGACAATAGAGTTTGTTGTGAGTTATATCACTAACACTTGGTCACCTAGACAATGACTATCTGTCATACAGTTGAAGATTATTTATAGTGTTATATGAGAAGGTTTGAAAGAGAACAGAGCAAGGAAATTGTTGTAATTAAGATAAATTCTTAAAAATGAAATAAAAAGTTATAGGTCCCCAATATAAAACACATGTAGGCACACAAACGTGAACACAAACTTAAGTATACAAAAGCATACACATACCAATAATGCAGACACAAACACACACACACACACACAGACACACACACACACACACACACATTTGCAGGCTTTTGCACTTTTATAAAAGGAGTTACACATTAAATAACATTTTAACAAGATGTTTTCGTTTCAATTTTTCTGAATCTACTGCAACAGAGAGAGAGGTTGACAGGTAGATGAAACAGCAGCTTTTAATGGAAATCGCCCTAGTTACTGCTGTGTTTTGATTTCCATTACTAGGTTTAGCATCTCTCACTCTCTCTATTGATCCAAAGCTATTCTCTATATTATAGTACACAGCCAGTCAGAGGCAATGGCCAATCACATAAGTCTCCTCACACAGGGTTGGATTCCAGCTCTTAGCTGGTTCTAGTGTCTAACCAAGTCCTGAATGTACACTCTCCAGAGTGTTGTCTAAAGTTTACATTAAACTCAGGCCAGTAACACTGTACCTCAAATTATCAGACATCTTTCTTTACTTCATAATCTGATCCCAGGCTTGCATGTTTAATTCTCCTACTGCCCGGACCCAAAGGAAATTTTCTTTTCTTCAGCATTATTGCCAGGGTAAGAGCCTGTGGATACACCAAGGTCACCCATCTATTGAGAGCACAAAAAGAACTTCATCTCCTTTTCAATATAATCTATAACTGTGCAACTTACAAATTATTGTTTTTATTAATGCTTCAGAGATTAATTTTTAGCCAAATGGTCTTTGCATAAATTTTAAATTTAAATATCTCGATGTATGTATGATCTGTTTAATTTTATTTAAATATGTTTTTAAAATTAACAGTATAGTATGATTGCTTGAGTTTAATATTTCCTTTCTTCCTTCCAAATCCTCTCATTTACCCCTCGTTTTATGGTCTCTTTTTAATTGTTTGTTACTTTACTCTCATATTCCCTCTCTCTTCTCTCTGTCTCTCTCTCTCTCTCCCTCTCTCTAACTGTCTGTCTCTCTCTCAATCATGGAAAAACACACACTCCCAAATACATAAACAAAACAATCAATATATGTTATATAAGACAAAAATCTAATTTTACTGTATTATCCATTTATGTTATATTTGAGAAATATTTTACCTGGTATATCTTTTGGTAATTTATAAGGTGAGTTAAGCGATTATTAGTAAATGATAATTTTGAGTGATTTATTTATCTGGTATGATTTTGTAATTATACAAGTATGTGTGTGTGCGTGAGGGTGTGTGTGTATTGTTACATTTCAGTAAGTGTGAGGGGAATGCTCCTATCTTGTTTGTTCTTATTTTTCTTATTTTTCAGCACAGTTTCTTTGATACTGGATTACTCATGATCCTGTACAAATGTTATAATAATTATTCATTAGGTCAAATAACAACACACATGGAGTTCTGTAGGCCCACTGTACATAAACTCTACATTGCTTGTGAATACTGCATTCATAATATTGATACTACTTGTCTAGCAATTTGGGACTTTCTGTTTCTTATGTAGATTCTACTAATCATGTCAAAATGATTCTTTGTTTACATGTATAGGTTTTACTGTTTCTAACTATGTACTCTTAAATTTTGCCCTCTTATTGCATGATCCTGATGGAAGATCTCCCAAGCCTGCTCATGGTAATCTCAGACTCAGGCATGGATGAAATACTTCTCCGCAACTTCTGAGAAGGCTTCATTGAAGACATACTCACCATACCTACCCTGTGGTATTGTAAGTCTTGCTTTGTTTGTATTTTTCATATTTGATTACTAATTATTTCATTAACTGTGGAGTTTTTTAAAGAGGGTAACAGCAAGAGATCAAAGCAAAAGAGTAAGGAAGAGAGAGAGGGCAGGAGAGCAAGAGAGACAAGTGAGTAAGAGAGAGAAGAGAAAGCAAAGAGCAAAAGAGAGAGAGTAAGTGGGCAGGGGTCTGACTTTCAAAGGGGTCCTTTACACCGGCTTTAGACTTAGTTCCCATGGAACTCTGGGAAATTCCTGAGTGGATTCTGCCAGGTAACAGGGACAGGCCAATTGTAATGCCTTAATCTTTCATTCCCACCTTCACTTATTATCAAAACGGTAGTGTGTTAGACATGGCAGGTTAGGGATTAAGGACATAGAGTTCTTAAGACTGCTTCCTGCTGAGGAACTCTGCCACTTAGACATGGCAAGATGTTTGCAGAGCAAAGGACAAGTTTATTTTTAGAAATTTTTTTTCTTAGGTCCTGATACTTGAGAGGAGAATTTAAGATGAGTGAGTGGTTCCCGAGGAGTCCCAAGATGAAGGATGGGAATCAGGACCAGGGAAAGATTGAATAATATCTGGATTGAATCTGACCTGTTTTGGTGGGTTCAGTTCAGCTCCCTGGAACTTATAGGAGTCCTTAGAGTTTGTGAGAACATAAGTACAAGATATATTAGCAGGATATTTATGTTAGATTTGACTTGGCTGAAAGCATTGACTTTTTAAAATTACAGATATTATTTAAGACAATGAAAAGCATCTTAATCTTGACATTGTACTGATGGTCGTACAGTCGTATTTTAGATCTTTATTGACTAGAACAGTAGCATGAGAAACGAGAAATCTGGAACATATTATTTTTAAAGACTCAAACCACTTTATCATTAGTTAAGACATTTATTCTTAGGCCTTCATAATTTTAATTTATATATCTAACTTTACTATGTTAGGCCTTCCATTCCAGACCTTCATAACTTGCATTTAACCAGCTTGTGTAGACCTTTCCGTTTTCAGACCTTTGGAACTTACATTCCCCGACCTTATACTTTCCTATTATCACATAGATAGACCTTAAAATACCTGTTCCTAAAATACGATTTGTTTTAAGCTGGCAATACTACCAGTCATCAAAAGTATCAGAATTCTTGAGAAAGAAAATATTTTACTTGAGTTAATGATTAAAGAATAACAGAGACTTGTCAGAGGCTGCATGGACAGCCACTCCCAAGGTTCCCCATGGTTGTGGGCTGCAGGACATTTGAATTCTTGCTGATAGCATCTGACAGGATTGCAGCGAAGTGGCAGATGAGTAAGTTTTTGGTTCTGAGAGACGGGTCCCTCTGTCTCCTGGTATTTATGTAGATCCAATCGAACTTTAAATTAGAAGAGTAAGATATTTTATAGTTTTGGTCACTGGAATTTTGCAGTCTAATAAAAAAGGATTTCATTTTACTGAATAAGGGCAAATCCAGTCTTTTAGATATGGCTGAATGTGGACTGAATATTTTACTTTTCCAACTGGCATTTCTCCAAATATCTGTTTTTCACAGAAGTATCTTCAGGCATATAACTAATTCACTACAACTTGTTTTATGCAAGCTTATCAAAAGTTAAATGGGTTTGCTGATAGTCTTGTGTATATAGGACAGAGATTATGAAGTCAGAGACCTGAGTCTGTGCACCTATATAAAACCTATAGCACCTCCTGGGAAAAGGCATTCTGATGAAAACATTTTGTGGGAGTAGAAGCAAAGTATAGATGAAAACATCAAAGCTGTATTTTTCTTTGGGAAGAAAAGGATTTTGTTCATGTTATAGGAAAGATGTAGGGAGAAATGCTGAGCACAGCAGTAAGTGGGCATGGACAGAGTCACCTATGCCAACCCCCAAGTGGGAGTTGTCAGCATTCCCCCCATAACCTGACACCAACTAAAGTGCAACAAATGGAGTCAGAAGTAGATTGATAACAGATGGTTTATTAGGAAAGTACTTACTCAACTTAGCCACCAACCAGGTTTACACCAAATACATGCTGTCCGTTCAGATAGACATGAGAGAGAAAAGATGTCCCGATGTGTGCCTCTCTGATATTTAAAGCCTTGTTACACCATTCCCACCATGTGCAACTGCGTCTAGTAAGCGGCATTTTTGCCAGCCTCAAAGTTGGCATGGTCATCATTTCCCTCTTGAGAAAGAGACAATAAACTGAAAGTAAATTGCACAAATTATCATTTTATTACTGAGTAGAATTTCAGCCCTTTTTTGTCTTTGTAAGAGAATAGGAGTGTCGTGGTAGAGGCATGGACAATAGAGATTGTGGTGCAATATCGCACTAAGTTGCGGTCACCAAAACAATTGAAGTGAGTTTAGAAATCACAGAATAACAGTTTTCTCTCCTTGGTGACAGGTA